AAGAAGTGGCAGGCCTCTACCAAATCAAGAGCTAATGGGACGGGCAAACTTGGACTTTATTACTCCGATGCTTTTAAAATCAGATTTTGTAGGCTGAATAGGTGGCTGGGTAGGGGAAATGCTTTTTTTTCTAGCACAAGGGCCTAAGCTTAGACATCCAGCACACGTGGTATAAAACCCCGGTGCAGTATCATACACCTGTATCTCCAGCAACCTGGGCCAGGCACGGTGGCACAGACCTTTAATCCCAGCACTTGAAAGACAGAGGCAGATGGATTTCTGGGAGTTCTAGTACAGTATGGTCTACATAGGGAGGTCCAGGGCTACAGAGAAGAGACCCAGTCTCAAAAACACAACAAAACAAAAGAAGGTTCTTGGGGCTTGCTGACCAGCCAGTCCAGCTGAATCAAGGGACTCTATGTCAGTCAAGGGAAGATGCCATTCATAAAAACAGGTGGAAGAGCATCTGAGCTACAGATACATGGACCTACTCAAATGCACACACACACACACACACACACACACACACACACACGCGCACGAGCACACATGCACGCACACACTTGCGCGCAAGCATGCACGCATGGCCCAATCTCTGAGAAACTGTTGGTACATTGGCACTTCCAATGAGGTAGATCTAAGAAGGACAACTAAAGCACACCTATGCTCTAGATCAAACATGAAGAGTGTACTTCTATGCACCCTAATATCTTGCCCAATCCTCAGCCACGGCTGCATGAATGAATGTGCCCTTGGCCTTCACTTTTGCATCCTGATCTGTTGTCTCACTAACTGGCATATTCTGGCACCCATGTATTGGGTCAGTTAACTCTTCCTCAAAGTTAAAGGCTATGTTAGCTTAAAAACAAATCATCCAATTAAAAGCAAATTATTCAAACGATAAGCAAATAACAAATTATTCAAAAAGTGACCAGGGTAAAATATTTTTGGCAGTATTGTTTAACTTGCTATTTTGAAAAGAACAGCAATCTAACAAAAACTCATGGAAACATTTACTATTTAGAACAGTGGTTCTCAGTCTCCCTAATACTATGACACTTTAATGCAATTCCTCAGGTTGTGGTGACCCCAATCATTAAATTATTTCACTACTACTTTATAACTGTAATTTTGCTACTGGTATAAATCACAGTGTAAATCTCTGATATGCAGGATATCTGATATGTGACCCCCTAAGGGGCTGCACCCACAAGTTGAGAACCACTGATTTATCTAACTTAAGATGCTACCTAGTTAACATATGGTGACTATAGCTTTTTTCCTACTTACAGGACTTATAAAATATGAAGTTGAAAAAGTACTTAAAACACCAAAGAAAGAAAAAAACAGCATGCTTAAGGTGGCCCAAAGCATGAGATAATAAATGCTAGCAGTCAGTAGCTCATATGATTTCCTTTATCCTCACTCTTCTAGAAAACTCTGAAATCAAGACCTTCCTCCTGCTGCCATCAAACAGCCAAGTCAAAAGCGAGAGATGTGATTATGCAAAGTCATAAATACTGTACAGAGCACATATCTCATACTCATATATTTTTCCAAAATCAAAAAACAGCAGTCATGGATGCCATGCTCAGCCTTAATGCATGGGAGAGGGACTTGGCCCTGACCCAACCTATTGTGCCAGACTTTGTTGAGTCCTCATCAGAGCCCTTACCTGTGAGGAGGAATGGACTGGGGGTGGGCTGGGGAGGAATATAGGGGAATTGGGAGAAGGGGTGGAAGGGAGAACTGTGGATAGAATGTGAAATAAAATTTGAAAGAATAAATAAATTACTTAAAAAAGCAATCTAAGCAGATGTCACAATAGCTATGGTTTTTTAACTGACAGATAACATTGAATGTTTTTATTGTGTGTAACACATTTAAATAAGTATACACACATTGAGGACTGATTAAATCAAACTGAGAAACTCATTACCTCCATGTTTATCATCGCTGTTGTGTGAGCACTGACATTGACTCTCTTTCCCTCTTTACAACCCCAGAGCGTAGAGACCTGACATACTCAATCCCTTCCGCCTTTCACAGATACATTTTATGTGGAAATTTCAGGTTTAGTTAGGTTTTTCTAACAAAAATCAATAATTATTTTCATTCCAAAACATATCAAAGTAAAACAAAAATAGCTGAATGTAGTAATCATGAACGAGATTCAATGCTACAATTTCATGAAAGGACACAAATGTGATTCATTTTTGTGACACTAAATAAAGGAGAAAAGGCAGAAAATCAGTGTCCTACTCTCTCACCCTGCTCCTATGCCAAAGCCAGGCAGGTCATTGTATGTTCTTAGTTTTAGAGACATGCACAAATAAAAATAGTAATTATCATTTGGCAGGTCTCACTTGTATAAGAAAATTACCTCCAGTGTTTGCTCCAATATGGCCAGGCCTCACTGTACCAATGAATTAAACAGAGCATTTCACAGGAATGAAAACACTCCTCTATGAAAGGGGTGCCGCAGCACTAGTTCCTACGTGCCACCATTCTTTCAATGGACCACAGTCTGCGATCTTAAAGTACTTCCTGACAGGTTCATTGACATTAATTCCATTCCTAAAGAACTAATAGCAGAAATCTAGGTCCTGTACAGACAGCTCAGGACCGCTACTGAAATAAGCAAGTATTGCTTTAGATAGCTGATAAACTGTAACATCTGCTGACAGTCCAGAGAAGGTTCCTACCAAGTCTCATAGAACGGCAAGAACAGGATTGCTCACCATACCTCCTACTCCCAAAGGACAGAGGCAGACACTGGGTACGCTGATTAAATGTCCAGGCTGAGTCCTACAATATTTTAGGCAACAGCACCTTTGCCTCTAGTCCACTGATACCTAATAAACATAGCAATGCTAGCACACAGACTTTGTGGTATATAAAAACTTGGACAAGCTGGAAGAACTTCAACAATGTTAAAGCTGACTAATCAAAGGTATGCATGTGACAGTAACTCCTGAGGTAGTACATAAGGGTACGACTATTAAAAGAGAAATGGAAAATGATGGTGGTAGGCATCTAATTTCCTCCAGGTATGGGTAGCGAGGAGGAAGAAACATGTAATAAGTCTAGTTATAATACTCAAGAATAACATATAATTTCCACCCCATATAATTTCTCATTTTCTTGTATAGCTGAAATACAAGGAATTGGTAAAGAAAATCAGTAACAATGAAAATAAATGTCCTTCTGATGTTTGTGAAATGTTGAAATTAGAAAAATAACCATGAACATTTCTTTCATTTTTTTCGCTATTTTTCTCATGATGTACCTGAATCAACTATTGAATATGTTATGTGACAATAGGGCCACAATGTACAAAGAAAGGAAAATGGCAAAGTGTATAATACAAACATGGTAATCTATTAAATACTGTAATAATTTTAAGCACTTAATTATTTCTAAAATTTTGTACAAGCATATTCAACATTAAAATTCATCTTATTACACAAGCCACACAATCTACATGATCACTCTGAAGCCTCTAGAAGGAGTAATGGCATCATTCATAAACCTCTACCTATTAGAATATGACTTTTTAAAATTAGATCAGACACAGTGCTGATACTTCAGACATTTGAGCTATCAATGTGGAAACAATGTGCTTACTTGCTGAGCAAAACTGAGATAATTACCCACTAACTCTGGTAGATCCCCTATGCTACTTAAACCAATACAAATATGTCTCAGATATAATGAACACTATTATGAATTTTGAGATAAATGCCAGAACAATCAAAAGGTTAAGATCAACAAGATCATTTTAGAACAATGGAAGAAATGAAGACTTTTTCCTATAAAACTGAAGCAAAAGGAATAATAAACTTTAATGACAGTATGCATAGAAGAAAATTAATTCTGTGATATTTCAAAAAAGCATTTGCCTTGATAATAAGCTTAATAAAAGCCTGAAATGCATAAGTAAACATTCTGTGGGTTTTAAAATACTCATTCCCCGTTATAAAAAAAATGGAAGAATAGGACTAGACATTGTAACAATCAGATGTCAGAGAAAATACATTTTAATACAAGCCATCACCATTAAATACATGAGTAAGAAATGTGGAAGGTAGATATTTGCTACACACAGACTTGCAACAATTCTCCCCCACCCATCCATGCTACCTATCACTGTTGCTAATGCTTTCTAGGAATTTCAATGTAGTCTTAGCATTTCTTACCATATCTTTGGACAATGAATACAGCCAAAAGAAAGGACACAAACAAAAGGTGTGTAAAAGTTTAAGTGTGTACATGCATGTGTGTGTGTATATGAGAGTGAGCTTTCCGCATGTTTATGTTAATGTTGAAGACGGACAATCAAGAATACCACTGCTAAGAAAAAGCTTCCCTTTTGACTACATATAGCCAAAGGAAATCCTGTTAATCGGTTTCACTTCATGACACCAAACTCTCTTAACCACTGAACCATCCCTCTGGCCCTTTGACAGTATTTCTTAAATGTAGATAAGGAAATACAAACCATTTCACACCGTATTTTAACCGTGGAACATGTAGCATTATATCCATGGTAACAAGGTACTAGTAACAGATACAGTAGGTATGCAGAGTATTAGAGAGATGCCAAATAAAGCAGGCCATAAGAGCTGGCAACCACACACACAGGGAATGCCAGAACAGAGGGAGGGAGGGAAGAAGGGAGGGAGGGAGGGAGGGAGGGAGGGAGGGAGGGAGGGAGGGAGGGAGGGAGGGGGTCGAGAGAAAGAGGAGAAAAAGGAAATGGTGGCAGAGGAAGGACACATAGTTAGGCAGGCAAGACAGTACACTGAAAGCCCTAAATGTAAACATATTTCATTCCCAGAGTGTGACTGGTTGGTGGAAATAATAAAAATCAGAGCATTCTAATAAACTATCTTTTTCCTGTACTGATGTAAGACTTGGAATACCATTTGCTAAGTAGCATAAATAAAGCCCATCTTAGGAAATAAGTCCTTCAGATGGGAAGCTCTTTCCACTTTTACCTTTTCCTCCAGTTGCTCCTTCAGACACTGGTACTTCTGCTTTAGTTTCTTGTTCTCATTTTCATTCTGGGTTAATTCCTCTGTCAGCTTTTCACACTGGGATTTCAGCTTCTCTAGCTGACAGCGGTGGGCTTTAGCCAAGTTCTTATCTTCCAGGCTTTCTGCCTGATGTAAAGACAAGGAGAAAAGAGAATGCTGACTGACTGCAGCTGAATGACACCACACATAATCCGCACTGTAGCAGCGGGGAAAGCGCTCCACGAGTTTAGTGCTCTTGTTCATACACAGACATCGAGCACAACGCAAATGTTCTATGCATAGATTCAGTAGACCTCACACACGTACTAGGTGACAGGTTCCACAAAGAGGTGCTGAAGATGACAGACACGACACATAAAAACGCCTGAGAAAACAGTCAGGTTGGCGTCGATGAAACAGAAGCATTGCCTGGGTATTTTGGCAGAAAGAGGATGCTAACTGCTGAGCGAGGATGACATTACTAGAGAAGATCCCCACAGGGACACTTCAAGATGATGCTTTCCACTGGCCAGTTTCCTCATCTACAAAAGGACTTAACTTTCTTCTGCTTCTTTCTCCTGGATTCTAGGGAAGACCCACATACTTCTCATACAATGTAATATTGACACTACTCTCATGGAACATAAAATGAATGAGCTGTCCATGTCCAGTAGTATAGTAAAGTCCATTCCGCTCTACCTTTATTTGTGTATAATTAATTCAACATTTTTTCCTTCTCTTTTTTTGAAATAATGGCCTTTTTCACTAATTGTTATTGCATGCATGTATATATTCTTATATACATATATATTCCAAATCTAACCTGTTGAGACCATGTGTGTTCTCAGGGCCCCCACCTTTATTCCATTGCCTGTAATTCACTGCATATGGCTGAGGCTTTAGGATTTTCCCCATCCTGTCTGACATGTTCTTTGGTACCATCCTCCTTTGGCTCACTCTGGGTGGTCATCACATTCAACTTTTAAAAGATAATATAATAGGGCCCTACAAGTAGCACACACACAAAAAAAAATCTTAAAATTTTACGGAAACACAAAGACCAAAATGAAGCAAAACAATCCTGAACAAGAAGATTTGGAGGAGGCATCACCATACATGACTTTAAGTGTCAGCACAGTCTTACCCCCTCTATCTTCTCAACACCTTGAGCAGGGAGGTGCTATTACTCGTTATTCACTCCTGTTTTGAAACCCAAGCTTTTAGAAACTAGTAACTTTATGCAGGTATACTGTAAATAGAAGCAGACAGAGCACCTAAACCCAGGACTTCTTCCTAACATCCACCTTAACAGGAATACTGCCTTCGGTTTTAAAAACCTGAACACAAGCATCAGTAGTAACTTGACACACCTACCAGTCACTTACTTAACAGTTGACAAGCAATTTCACATAATCTGTTTAAAATACATGTTTTAACATCCAACATGTATGTGCTTTCCTTTCCTTTGTGGTTGGTACTGGGATGCATGGAACACACATGCACGCTAGGCAAGCCTCTCTCTACCTAAGCTACACTGAAACACTGTCTAGTACCCATGACTAATTATGTATGTAGCAATACAATCATTGGAAAAACAACTTTCTAAAAGAAGTTTTGAGAGTTTTAAGCAAAATCTATATTTTATTTCCTCCACAAAATTCAGCTAAGACCTGATGCCACTTTGAATTAACAAAGGAATTGATTTTCCTATGAGCCATCCTGTATTCACAGACCCAAAATAAATTTACAAAATAAAGTCTCTCATCAGGAAAATTGCTCAATTACAATTTTAAGTTTCAGTAGATTGCTTTTTACTTTACTTTATGTCCTATAAAAAGCACAGATGAATAGGAAACTTCTCCTGAAGGTAAGTGATGCCTAGAGCCTGCTCCCAGGCCCTCAGAGACAACCCTGCTCTTTTCCCTCCCACCCCACCCTGCTCAGTCATGCCTCATTTGAAAGCAGTGAAGACCTAGACATCTACACCACTGAGCTTGTCAAATTCTGTTAGAGATTTTCCTCCATACAGAGGCTATTTTTAAAGACATCAGTTCTTAATTTCTGGAATATTTTACCTGTTTGATGCTTTTTTTTTAACGTCTGCTTTTCATTTGAGGATTTACAAAGTCGTGCGCTCAGAATAATCAAGTGGGCTAACAGCATTTTTTGTTCCTATTTTGGTGGTAAAACATTAAAAGGAATATTGCAAATATCACAGAGCCAGCAATGACAAAAACATATCCTTCTGCTTCAGGCTATAGTTGAAGGCTCTAGAAAATGACTTTATAGAAATGAGGTATCAACCTAACATTGTGAAAATGTCAACATCATCTAGAGTGTGTCGTAAATATTTTAAATTTAAAACTAGGTTTGAGGATGGTGATGGAATGATGTGTACAGAGACTAACTGTAGCTGTTGCAGCCAAGAATGATTAACCTCTCAAAAAGTAGTAAATTATGTGAAGTTGAAGGACACAAAAAACTAACATCACAGCACTAGCAATCGGAAGCTCTCTATCACTCAGGCCAGGCAATCGGTGAGAACCTCTGCTATGAACTCATTTTACTAAATATAAGCAGGTACATCAGTAGAATGCCATTAACAAAATAACACGAGGTGAGGGCTGGCTGTTCCATCAGGTAACTGATCTGGTTTAAAGTAGGCAAGTGCTGGGCCCTCACAGTCTCTGATTGTCAAGCTCCTGTGGCACCACATTACAGACCAGCACAACACCCTGCTCAGATCTCAGGATGGGACACTTTAAAAAGTCCAAAGGATTCTGAAAATCCAGATTGACTGTACAATATGATATTTGTCTTCGGGTTTTTGGTCATCTCACTATAAAATATGCCAAAGCACTTCCTAAACAAAAGGTGAGGAAATCGTCTTTTCGTGTTTGTTCCACGGTGAAATTCAAACTACAATTATCCCAGAGTGTGACGGGAACAAATTCCATGACTTCCAACTTTTCAAGCATTTTAATCCAACATCCCCTGAGCAAACTATTCTCTATATGCAACCTAAAGCTAGGCCCACTGGGAGATGGAAAGATGGCTGTGATGTGATGAGTGTCTGCCTGGAGACTGGCAAACACCCAAGGCTGCCTAACTGTATTGTGCTAAAGCACCAACAAATGGCTACAGACAACATTGGAGCATGGAACCCAGGCCTCAGATGAGATACAGGCCATCGCAGCAGATTTTCCAATCAGAGAAAAACCTTTCCTGCTGCAGATGGGAGAACACCACTGCAAATAGAGGGCAGTGGAAAGACCATTCAAGGGGCATGTGGTGAGCACAGAGACAAACCATACACACAAGGAAGGTGGGGCAAATGGGGGCAAGCAGGCTAGAGAGGGCAAATACCTGTTTTCAGAGAGGAAATCAGGTTGGAATCTGAAGGGGAAAAGTTAGGAGTGGAAAAAGGAAGTAGAGAATCCCACTGGGAAGTGTGGGGAGGGGTTCCAGAACTATACCCTGAGTCTTTTTTGTCAATAACACAGGATACTGGGATATACTCATATCCTGTCAAGGAGATTATACTTCCAGCTTTATCATAACTCAAGTCAGAAGAACTAAATGTATGAATGATATTTTTTCTTAAGTTTTATTCTTCATTCATACCTGACATTCCAATGGCAGTTCCTCTCCCTACAGTCCTCCCAGAGCCTCCTGTTTCCCTTGAAGAAAAAGAAGAGGAGCGGACTTCACAGGCTATCAACCAAACGTGGCATAACAGGTTACAATAAAACTGGGCAACCCAACAAGAGGAAGAGGGTCCCAAGAGCAGGCAAGAGTCAGAGACACCCCCACTTACACGGTTAGAAGTCCCACAAAAACATCAATCATAAGGTGTACACAGAGGACCTAGCTTTGACCCACACAGGGTCAGTGTTTGTTGCTTCAGTTTCTGTGAACCCCTAAGAGCCCTGCTTAGTTGATTTTGTGGGCCTTGTTCTCCTGGTGCTCTTGAACCCACTGGGTCCTACAATGCACCTATCTTCTTCAGTTCCCCCAGCTCCACCTAGTGTTTGACTATGGGTCTCCACATCTACTCCCATACCATGCTGGATGATTCCCCTCAGATGGCAATTGGACTAGGCACCCATCTATGAATATAGCAGAATATCACAGAATATCATTAGAAATCATTTCATTGGCCATTTTTTTTGTTGTTGTTGTTGTTGTTGCCAGTCATGTTTGGTTCTATCTGGGGTCTCTGGGCTCTTCAGCTTCTGATTCCTAGTCATCCAGGCAGTGTCAGTCATGGGCTCCCTCTACTGGCATGTGCCACAAGTTGGACTAATAATGGGCTGATCACTCCCACAAGTTCTGGCTCACCATTGTCCCAGCATATCTTACAGGCAAGACAGATTGAACCTCAAAGGTTTTGTGGCTGGGTTGATGCACCAATCCCCCTGCTGAAAGCCTTGTCTGGTTATAGAAGATGGCCAATCTAGCCCTGTATTCCCCATTACTACAAATCTTTTCTAGGGTTGCTCTTGTTCCAGGGGGTTTCCACTACACCAGGATTCTGCATAGACCCCTAATTCCAGTTCTTTCTCCCAGGACTCTCCCCCTCTGTCTCTCCCACCCCCACCTGATCCCTCCTGTTCACATGCCCACCCACCCCTGGTCCACTCACAAAACCTATGCTATTCCCCTTACCCAGGGAGATCCATGCATCCCTTCTTGAGTCCTCATCATTACTTTGCCTCTGTTGGTCTGTGGATTCTAGCATAACTATCCTTTACTTTACAGCTAATGTCTACTTCTGAGTGAGTACATACCATGTTTGTCTATCTGGGTCTGAGTTATCTCACTCAGGATGGTCTTTCCTAGTTCCATAGACTTGCCTACAAATTTCATGTCATTTTTAACATCTGAGTCATACTCCATTGTGTACATGCACATTTTCCTTATCCATTTTTCAGGTGAGGGACATTTATGTTGCTTCCAGTTTTGGGATATTATGAGTACAGCTTAAAAGATCATGGTTGAGCAAGTGTCCTTGTAGTAGGATGGAGCATCCTTTGGATATATGTCTAAGAGTGGTCTAGGTCCTGAAGTAAGTCATTTCCCAATTTTCTGTGTAGTTTAGGTATCAGGGTGAATGTAGCCTCATAAAATGAATTTGGCAATGTTCCTTCTGTTTCTATTTTGTGGAATAATTTGAGAGGATTTGTGTTAGCTCTTCTTTGAAACTGATAGAATTCTGTGCTAAAACTGTCTGGCCCTGGACTCTTTTGACTAGGAGACTTTTAATAACTGTTTCTAGATCCTTGGGGATTATAGGTCTATTTAAATTGTTTATTTGTTCCAGATTTAACTTTGCTAAGTGGTATCTATCAAGAAAATGTCAGTTTCTTTTAGATTTTCCAACTTTGTGGAGTACAGGTTTTTGAAGTATGACCTAATGATTGCCTGGATGTCCTCTGTGTTTATTGTGTCCCATTTTTGTTTCTGATTCTGTTAATTTGGATATTCTCTCTCTATCTTTGTTAGTTGGTTTGTTAGTTGATTTTCTCAAAGAACCAGCTCTTAGTTTCATTAATTTTTTTGTATTGTTCTCTTTGATTCTATTCTGTTGCGATCCATTTGGTGTTCTGTAAACTTCTCGTACCTTTATAGGTATATCTTTCTTTGGGTTAGGAAAATTTTCTTCTCTGATTTTATTAAAAATATTTTCTGGGCCTATCAGGAATTCTTCTCCTTCTTTTATTCCTATTATTCTTGGGTTTGCTTTTTATCCAGGGCGCCAGATTTCCTGAATGTTTTGCATCAGGAAATTTTTAGATCTAACACTTTCTTTGACAGGTGAATCAATTGTTTCTATTATATCTTCTATGTCTAAGATTCTCTCTTTCATCTCTTATATTCTGTTGATGGTGCTTGCATCTGTAGTTCTTATTCACTTAAGTAGATTTTCCATCCCCCAAGATTCCCTCAGTTTGTGTTTTCTTTATTGCTTCTATTTCCATTTTCAGGTATTGAACAGTTTTATTTGTTACCTTCACCTTTTTGTTTGTTTGTTTTTTCTTGGGTATCTTAGGTGTCTTGAAGGGATTTATTCATATCCTCCAATTGTTTATATGTGTTTTCCCAGCTTAATTTGAGGGATTTTGTTCCTGTAGAGATAATCCTGAACCAATACTAACTGCACAAATGATTACTAGTTCTCAGTAAGTAACCTGAAGCTTAACACACAGCCTAATTAACAGTGGTAAGCAGAAGTGATGAGAATGAAGGACACTTGGTTTTCAATGACCCTCAAAACTATAAGCTCCTTGAGAAGAACCATTAGCAAAGGCACTGCCCCATACAACTGACAAAACATTCTATGATCGCCATCATGCAAAGCCCAGCCTTCCTGTGAGATTCACACTACTCCTCCATACCCCTGCCCTTGCTGACAACAGCTCATGGACCAATCACCCTCTTGATGGAGGTTTTGACATATGATGAATTAATCCCTTCATTATAGTACCATACATGTCCACATGTCCACCCATCAAGCTAATCTCAGAATTACTTATTCTATTTCAGATCCTTCAGCCACATTCACAATGGAAACCAACTGGATGACTACTTGGACCTTAACTCTAAAAATCTGCCCTTGAAGAATTTTTAGCTAAATTTAACAAAAAAAAAGAAAGAAACTCTAGAACTGGACCTTTAGCTCCAGCTTCTCTCTTTCATTTACAAGAAATGCTTATTCTTCTACTCTGATTGCATGGCAGTACTCACAAGCCTCCACACTGATCCATAACCAGTCTTCCCAACAAGTGTCAGTCCATTGCTGCTCAACTCTACTTCTCCCAGTTTAACAACTCCTCTAGATTATCCCTATCAGTGAACATCCTCAACAGTATCTTCCAAAGCCTGAAGCCTGCAGAGAAAGAGAGTTTTTGTCAACTGTCGAATGCAGACCACCCTGTCTTAGATCCAGGACCCCTACATTTCCTCGTGGGCCTTTGTTGTAAAATAGAATGGACACATTTTTATTTCTTTTAGTTGATCACATATGACACTAAATATTTTATTTTCATTTTATGTGTAGGGGTGTTCTTCCTGCATGTATTTCTGTGCACCATGGATATGCCTGGACCCCAGGGAGGCTGGAAGAGGACATTGGATCTCTTTGAACTAGAAGTATAGAGTTGTAAGCCACCATGTGGTTCTGGAATTGAATCAAGGTTCTTTGGAAGAACAGCCAGTGTTTTTATTGTTGAGTCACCTCTCCAGCCCCTTGATCATACTTTTCTTCAAATATCCTCCTGGGTTTCCAAGATATCATTTTCTCCTGATTCTCCTCCTGTCCCTCATGTAGTCTCTAAACCTTCGTTCTCAGTTATTTCTTTAAATGTTGGCATTCTGAAGATTTTCTCTCCTCTTTCTACTTGTACAATGTCCTAAATCTTGTGAGAGAACCTAATGCTTATGAGTTCCTGCTTAACTTCATTTTAATTTCAATTTCCCCCCACCTCCTGACACTATATGTACTCAAGAGCTTTATATCTAGTCTTTCATAATTAAGTGTAAGTCCCCCCCACATAAGTAAACACAGTAAGAAACTAGATTTGAAAATTTAAATTAATTAAATAAAATAAATAAAAAAGAAACTAGATTTGCCATTTTTCTCTGGATTCCTGTGCTGTTTGAATATTCTAAGTTCACAAATAGTGACATTATTCACCCACCCACCACACTTATTATCCAGTTGGCTTTGATTCTAAATCTTTCCCAGAAGAGCCAAGTAACAACTCAGGTGGTTGACTACATGGGTTCAAAACATGTCTTTACCATACTCCAGGCATGTTATTATGACTTAACACTTATGTGTCAATTTCCTTGTGAGTGAGAAATCAATGCACACTATTGTCAGGGATGATATATTCAACTATTAGCTCATATAAAGTCCTGATAGTTGAACTGACACAAAGTGCTCAAAAATATTTTCTAATAGTATTATTGTAGTAGTCACTCAATCAGCATGTAATATGAACTCTTCTTCACAATCCTAATTCTAGTTTTATTCATGTCCTCATCATTCTAAAGGGCTATTGTACAATATTTAATAAATAATGTGTTTTGTTTTTTTTTTTAGATTTTCCCCATCTCCCATTTGGGATGTTAGCTTATGTATCACAGTTCCTTATGTAGGAGACAGTACTTTTTTCTTAGCAGCATGCAACAATAGTGCACTGTGGTGTCAGACTACTAGTGAAACCTCACCTATTGGTCTATCCTTCATTCTGATCTGCCACATCAGTTAATGGTCCTAAGATGGGTAATCCCAGAAAGCAAAACAAAACTGGGAAGGAACTTATTATACAGTGTTCTACCTGTGTTAGCTACTCAATAGCATGTTCTCTTAATTTTAAGTACTGCTACAGTAGTACTTGCATTGCAAGAACTTCTGAAGAAAAATGATTGTGAAACTTTAATGATTTCTCTATTTTATTTTATATATTATATATTATAAAATATAGAATTTTATATTATATTTATCTACTCCTTCACCTATTAAACAAATATGTGCAAGGTATAGGAACGATCTGAGGCTCTGATCATACACCTGAAACAAATTCAACTTTTCATGAGTTTCGATCTGACTAAGGGAAATTACAAACATATATAAGGAATATGTAACCTATACCATTAAATATGACAGAGAAAAAGCAAAGCAGGGAGATGGATAAATTTAACACACCTGACAACCATGTGGCATCAATAACTTCTCCACATAGTGACAATGCCAATGTCATTAGACGTTTAAAGCATTTCCACAAATACAAGAAATCTCAATTAGGAATTTGCCCAGGCAGCACTGATTTAAAACAGAAAGAGGAAATCACAGAGGCCTTGGGTTCCCACAACCTATAGGCTGTGTAGCTTTAGTTACGGTATGAATAAGGACTGTGGCTACAGCTTCTGTGGCCTTGACAAGTCTTTGCCTTTGTATTTTAGGAGGGCATAAATGTTGGATGAGGGCACATCTCAGGTCTAGGACTTACTGCCACCTCTACCTTTCCTGAACTCCCAAAATAGCTAAATGTTCTCCTTAAAAGGCTCCTATGCCCCGAAATAGATGCTCCCAGGTGGCTGCTATAACTCATTTCAACCTGGCTGAACAGGCATGAATAAACCTCTTTATTGTTGGTTTTATCTTCCCTGCAATGCTTGGGAATACAGAATGATCTCAAAAAGTTTCTGCTTTATCAACTTCATGAGCCACCGGAAAAAAAGCTATGTTAGTATCGTCAAGATAATTGAGTACAGGTACCTTCAGTGTCCTGATGTGATTCTCGGCTTCACTCTTTTCTTTCTTAAAGTGCTTCATCAGCTCCTGGATATTCTGTTCGTGCTTCATTTTCACACTCTGCAGTGATGACGTGAGATCGTCCAGCTCCCTCTGGTGAACGTCTCGTTCTAGCTTTAACTGTGTGATAATGGTAGCCGTTTCTTCCTCTTTAGACTTCGCCTGGGCCGTCAGTTCAGACAGGTCCTTGAGCACAGCCTTCTTGGCTCTCTCTTCTTCAGCCAGTTTATTAGCGAGATCTGCTCGGATGGCACTCAGGTCCTTGATGGACTCTTGCATCTCAAGAAGTTTGGTTTTGTCCTGGGCCTGGCTCATCTTCAGCTCTGCAATTTCTTCCTCCAGGTGAATTTTTTCGGCTTTGATCTGGCTTTGCATCTTGCTCTGTCTTTTCAATTCACTTTCCAGTCGATGGATGGTGTCCAGGGAATTCTTGACCTCCAGTTCAAGTTCAGCTTGCTGAGACTGAAGGTCACTGAGTTTCTTCTCCTTACAGTGAAGCTCCTCCTCCTGCAGGGCGCGCTTGGTCAAGACATCATTGAGTTCCTTCCTGAGATTCTCTATCTGTTGTAACGCTGCATAAAGCTGGCTTTTCAGTTCATCCTTCTCTTTTAGAATCTAGAGGGGTACAAATGCGAAATGAAAAGAAAAGGTTACTGAGAAATTTACCATAGCCCCTGCAAGTAACAAACTAAAACTTAATACACAAGGAAAAGAAAATTTGACTAGATCATATTTTTCATATTTTAATGAAAAATAATTTTAGGCTAGAAATGGGCTAAGGATACAATCATTACATAGCTATGTAAAATCATATATTATACTAACACACTAATATGAACATGTATTCAAATACCTATTGTCAAAATGTACTAATCCAAATGATCAACTGAACTCCTGGAACCCGGCTGCAAAGAGGACTGATGCGATAAGACAAACATTAAGGTTCAGAGTCTGAAAGAGTTTGAAACAGTTACCTAGACTTTATACAGCTACATAAAAGCTCACACACACACACACACACACACACACACACACACACACAAATAAAGAGGTAAAACTGTAGTCAAGAGTGACAAGGAGACCAAGACAAACAAGGAGAGTTAATAAAGGGTAGGAGGCTATGAGGGAAAATGCATTCAGCACACTATACACATATATATACATAAATGAAAGAAATAAAAGGAAAAAAGGGGGAGTGACTAAGCTGTTGACCTTTGACCAGAGAAAACTCAATTTACTTATCAGTTCAACCATAAATAAGCCCATGGGCTTAAATTTTTTAATCATTTATCTTCAAAGAAAAGAATAATTAATTTACATTATGGCTCAGCACAATGGCTTTCTCTGGATGCTAGAACATGTTCTTGGACTCCCCAGCCTCCAGAACTGTGAGCCCAATAAAATTATATTGTGCATCCCTAGTCTGTGGCCTTCTGTTACAACAGATAATAGCCTCAAATAAGCTGTAATAAAAAAACACAGTTCACAGAAATTAAAGAAAAACACCTTTTTAAGGGAATCATTATATTTAGTTCATTAAAGAAGATGAAAACACCCCGTAAGGATAATGTGACAAGATTCTAAGAGGACACAGCTTAAATACATGGGTCCATACTTGGAAAAGATACCACAGATACCCTAGCCATGAGCCTAGAGGCTTTCAGATAGAAATGAAGGTTGAAGTCTCATGGCAAAGCTCTATCTGGCAGAACATTCTCCTCCTGATGTTGGTTTAAACAGCAAGAATCTTCCTTTTTCTCACAATGCAACAGGTTCCAAAACACAATGACTTTAGTAACAATCCTTTGAATCCTAGGCTCTGCTACTTTACGATTCTCTAGGGATCACCATCTTCCCAGTGTTCCAAAATCATATCAGTTCACATGAGAAAGGACAGCCCAAGTTGGAGAGTTACAGGACACTAGTCAGATCTGGGATTTGCTTCAGTAATACAGATACTGAAAACCAAGTAATATTCATATATTTGCTTCTGGCTAAGAGCTAAGTGTAGTTGGTTGGTTGGTTGGTTGGTTGGTTGGTTTGTTTTTAAGTGAATTCAAGAACTGATGTATGCCAGAAGATTCAGAAACTGAACAAAGAATCATCTGACTTGTAGGAATCCGTAGCTCAAGAAGAATGACTTGAAGATCACTGAAAAATAGGCCAACAGTGAAGTGAGAGACTCTGACATTAATGAGACCATAACAACTCTACACAATGACAACAAGAATCACTTTTATGAAATAGGAGGGAGACAGGTATTGAAAAAAAATAATTGGGGGTGTAGGGAGAGAAGCTGTGAGGAGTAAGAATGAGAAAAGAATGTTCTATCCAGGGGAGCACAAGAATGACATTATCCAAAACTTTGGTAGGAGCAGAAAAAAAGATAGCTCTAGGAAGGCCTCACACCAATGTCCATATCACCATTTTAATTTTACTAAGAGGTTCATAAGGGAGGTTTAATGAAATGCATGTGCTTTCCCAAACTGCATCTCATAGGCTCAAAAAGGAGAACACATTAGCAATGAAATCTTCTTACCTTAAACTATTAAACAGTTCAGGTCTCATGAGACAGGATATAACATCTCAGCAGGGGGAAAATTCACAGATGGAAGAGATGGCAAATGAAGATTCTTAGAGTCAAACACCATCAAGCAAGAAGCTCAATACATAAGCAAGCTGAAAATTCTGCCAACTCAGCGGGAGAAGACAAGAAACGCAGTGAATACTAGCTGTACTAACAACAGTATAGGAAAGTTTCAGGAAAACACACACACACCCACACTGCGACCAAACTCAGATTTCTTTTCTTTTCAAAGCACATTTGATAACCAAAGGTTTCCAATAGCAACTGGAAAGAGAACTGACAAGAGACTACCCTAACTGATAGCCACATCACTGGCTCAATGCACTGCAGTCTGCCTGCGTGTTCATCTGGACATGACTCTGGTGGGTCATGGTCCTGGGCCTTGATCATGTCCTCTCTCTGAAGGGAAGAAAGTGTCCTGGACTTGTTTGCTTTTTTTATGCCATTTTTCTATGATTATATGATTTTAGTTGAAATTACATACCTTTAGCAAGTAAAATGGTTTGGGGTCACGTGACTAAGATTCCATACATAAATATATGTAAGAAGAATAGAATTGGGGATTTGAAGAGAAAAGAAGCATTTAGTTTTTTAACACACTTTTAAGTGAAGCAGAATATAAATTATGTTACAAAGAGAAACAGTCTAGGCATAGAATCATTTTACAAACAGAAAAACTATATCAGTCTACCTCAAGACTCAGCAATTCCACTCTTAAGCATATACCCAAAGGATGCACATTCATACAACAAGGACATCTGTCATAGCAGCATTATTGTAATAGCCAGAACCTGGAAGCAACCTAGATGCCCTTCAACTAAAGAGTGGACAGAGAAAATGTGGTACATTTACACAATGGAGTACTATTCAGCAGAAAATAAAACAATAAAATCTTGATATTCACAGGGAAAATGGATGGAAATAGAATAAACCATCCTGAGTGAAGTAACCCAGTCACAAAAAGACAAACATAGTGAAAAGGATAACCAGCCTACAATCCACACCTCCAGAGAAGCTAGGAAACAAAGAGGACCCTAAGAGAGACATACATGGTCCCCCAGAGAAGGGGAAAGGAACAATATCTCCTGAGCAAATTGGGAGCGTGGGCAGAGGGGAGAGGGAGTTAGGAGAAGGGAAGGAAGACATGAGGGACCAGGAAGATTGAGTCGGGGGAAGAATAGAGAACAGCAAGAAAAGAGATACCTTGATAGAGGGAGCCATTATAAGTTTAGAGAAAAATCTGGCACTAGGGAAATGTCCAGAGATATACTAGGATGACCCCAACTAAGAATCTAAGCAATAGGGGAGAGGCTATCTGAAATGCCCTTCCCCTATAATGAGATTGATGACTACCTTAAATGCCATCCGAGAGCCTTCATCCAGTAGCTTATGGAAACAGAAGCAGAGACCCACAGCTAAACACCGAGCCAAATACCTGCAATCCAGTTGTTAAAGAGGGAGGAGTGACTGAATATGCCCAGTGTGTACTGTACCACTGACCTATGACCCCAGTCCAACATCAGGATGTCATCTTAGTTAAGGAGCCATAGGGACTCTCACTGAAGCTGGAGCTTGGTGTTTTGGCTGATCCCAATAGCCAGGAAGCCCTGAGGATGCACCTGTCTCCTTCCCAGTGATAGGATGACAGATGTGTACCACTGTACCTAGCTTTTACATGGGTTCTCCAGACCCAGTCGCAAGTCCTCATATCTGCAAGTACGAGGCATCATCCTAGCTGCTAGACACTTTTAAGTTTTTCCAAAATTCTTCACTACATATTTGTACATCACAGATTTACTGGACACTTGGAGCCCAGTGAAACACTTCTAATCCTTTCTCCCCTGATTAATCATTGCTTGAATCTCGACATGTCACATTAGTTTTTAAGGTTTTTAAAGGATAAATTACAATGCCTGCTGTGATAATTGTAATCCTACCCTAACTGCAGCAATCACTTTAAAACTACTTCTCTGCTAATCATCAGTAATGATCACTGATAAAAATAATTTTATCAGGAATATTGTGGGAAATGATTGTTTAAAACGTTGTAGTGTCTCGAAAAACCAAAAAAAAAAAAGTTGTAGTATTCTAAAAATTCAACCTAACAAGTACTCAGCACCATAAATTAGGATACTGCCTGGTGACATGGACCCTTCTAAACTCCTTTAGTGAAATAACACCCCCAGAGAGTTCCCAGTCAATCAACTCTGCTCTCTGGCTGCCTTCCCTTACAGGCATGTTCATAGAACCAGCGGCCGGCCAGACTGGCAACAGTGTAATCAAAGTAAAGGAATTTTCTAGGATCAAATCAATTTATATTTGAGCCCAAAAGCTTTAGGACTGCTTTTCCTCCTGACACACAGTTACTGTGTGCCAGAGAGTTAAAAGAAAAAGCACTAGACAGTGAGCATGGGCTTCCGGATCTTAAATGTGTAGAATGCATGCATATTTAAGAGGTAAAGCATCACAGTCATGACATTTGACCCCAAATCAGCACCTGCCATTGTAACTAATGTCAACTGATCCTATAAATATAACTGTCCTGAATTTTCCTTTTCTGATCCTATTGTTACTATTTCCAACTTAACCGAATGATCATTCTGGACTATTTTGAGTTCTTGACAAACCACAAAGCATACATGGTAACCCCAGACCAAGCATGGACAAAAATCTTTGCTTTTTATTCTTTTTAACATCTGTGTTTAGTTCAAACCAAAGATATACTTGAAAATCAACATGGGCGCATTAAATCTACTTAAAGTCACTGATTGTTCAAGAGACAAGATAACGTGAATACATAGCAAGATTAGCACAAGGCTTTGTGTCGCTATGAGGACAGCATAAAATAGTCATAAGGAGCCCTGTGATCTGAAGGCACTGCTCTGACAGTGCCATTGTCAATGTCACCCATTTAGATCAGCCTCTTACAACTTACAGTGACTGAATAACGTGTTAGTCATTACTACAGTGTTAACACTTTCCTTTCTATCCTGGCCTGCCATCAAAATACTGGAAAACATATGCCGTAGAGAGAGAGCCGCAATGCTGGGGAAGACTGAGTGACTTTTCCTCTGGAAAGTTAGAAGATTGAAAAATAATTCAAATTAGGGAAGTCATCAGCTAAACTGAGAGAGAAGGTAGAAGAGGCCTCAACTCGGAAAAGCCACCAAATATTGAAATATTTTAGAACATCTGGAAAATCTAAACACTAAATAATGTTTTGCCTTCAACTAGACAATATTTTTGGCTTTTTGTTCAAGGGTGCCATGGTAGGTGCAGACATAGCATGGTCCTCCAGTGTCTGCTCACAGGATGAATGAACAAAGGGTTAGGAACCTGCCTCATACCTGGCTGTTCTTGTCTGTCAGCTGGTCAAGGGTCTCTGCTTGTTTATCCAGTGCCCGCTCCAGCTTCTTATGCTTCAGTTTCCACTGGCGGATGGAGTCCTGGGCCTTCATCTTCAGGTCTTCCCTCCTCTTCTCGGCCTCGTCTCGCAGGGCCTCTGACCTCTGGAACTCACTAAGGTAGTGCTCTGCCTGCTTGGTCGCATCCTCTGCGTGGTGACTCAGCTCTGAGATCTGCAGGTCAGAGCGCTTACGATCGGCCTCACAGGTCTCAAAGTGATTCTGGATCTCTTTAAGTTGATCCAACATCTGCAATTGCTGTTTTTCCTTGTTTGCCAAGTCACGTGTTAGAGTCTGGAATTAACCACATGGAACATTACGATTAAATTCTTGTCAAGGTTGGGTGCGTAGCAAGAAAACCAAGACACTCTCCTGTCACTAAGGCAAAAGCCATTACCACCCGATTCCATTCACAATCTAGAATGTATGATTCATTTCTGTGTATTTAAAAGTCAAATTAACTGGGGGTAAACTGCTGCCTCTCTTTCGCACTATATCTTTCTAATTGTCACAAAATTAGAAGGCAGTGCTGAGAAAAAGGTTATTTTAGTAGAAGCATACCTACTGCTTTGTTCATCTGAAGTAAAGTCAGTGACTTCTAATGTGTCAGATTATTAGAAAACTGTTAGAAGCAATTATGTGGCATTTCACTTTCTGGCAGCACATGAAACTTATTATAATAAAACAGTAAATCAGTAATAATAACATGACATTGATAACAGAAGCACCATATTGGTAACTCTGTGTTGAAAAGTTCCTTTCAAAGATTCCCTGTAAAGTGGCCTCAGTTATTTCCAGCTACAGTGATGTAAATATAAGTCTAAACAGTTCTCCCATGCTGTTAAGAACTATTGCAGTATACAGTTTTAAATAAACTTAAATTTATTCAGAACATTTCTTTCATCAAGGAAAGTATCTAGCTTTTCTCAAACAGGGTAAGGTGGGTAACTTTTACATTTGAAAGCGTACACTAAATCATGGTAAATAATATTCAATATGAGGGTAATTAAATATTGAATGCAAAATGAAGCTCGCAGTACTAGGATTGGCTTAATCTAATTGAGTTGTTGGCCAAAGGGGTCCCATGGGAATACCAAACAATGCAGACTGTTGCTAAGACTACCAGTTGTTCTCCATAAACTGACAGCAAAATGTCATTGCTGAAGACAACAACTACATGGAAAGGTTTGAGCTGATGCCTATGCAGAGACTTCACTCCTACCTGCTGCAATCTTTGGTACTGGACTGTACTCTGCATGCTAATAAAAGAGAAACCTAAACACCAGTCTAGCCACAAATCCATTGATCTACAATGAAGTCTGGCCTGCGAGATAAACTAGGGCAATAGTGGCACAAAGCTTGTGTAAATAACCAACCAATTTCTGATCTAATTTAAGGCCCATCCTATAAGATGAAACCCATGTCTGACACTGCTTGATTGACCAAGAACCTGAGACTAGATAAACCGGGGACCTAAAGTAAAACCAAACACTACTGTTCTATAGATAGATAGATAGATAGATAGATAGATAGATAGATAGATAGATAGATAGACAGACAGATAGATAGATGATACATACATTTAGCAGTGAAATGACTTCTAATGATAGTCTACTATACTCATAGTTCAGTGCCTTGCTCAGCCATCATCAGAGAAGCTTCTTTCTGAAATAAATGGGAATAAATACAGAGACCCACAGCCAGACATAATGTGTGGTCACAGACTTTGGAACACTCAGCCTTAAATATGAGTCTCTATCAAATCCTAACCCTCAGGGCTCAGAAACCCTGTAGAAGAAGAGACAGAGTGTAAGAGCCAGAGGAGATACAGAACATCAAGAAAACAAACCTTTCTAAATCAACATAAGTAAAGGTCTTACGAATTCACAGAAACTGAGACAGCATGTACGGGCCTGCACAAGTCTGCACCAAGTCCTCTGTGTATATGTTACAGTTTCTAGTTTAGTGTTTTTATAAGTTCCTAAGTGTGCAAACAAGTGGGTCTCTAATTCTTGTGCCTTCTCTTGGGCTGTTTTCCTTGTTTGTTTTATCCAATTCCAATGTGTTAGTTTTTGCTTTATCTCATTATATTTTATTTTATTTTATTTATCAGTCTGTTTTCTAATGAGAGATAAAAAGGGGAAGTTTCCAGATGGGAGTGTAGTTGGGGAGGAACTGGGAGGAATAGAGAGAAGAGAAACCATAATTAGGATATATTATATAAGAAAAAGAAAACTTTTTTCAATATAAGTGAAAAGTCAGTTTGACTTTTATAACAAAAATTCCTTTTTGAACAAATATCCATGCCCTGAAAAAAAGGTTATTTTCAGAGCAACAGGTTTGCATTTGCTCAGTTCGCCAAGTTCAAGGCAGCCTGGAAGACATGAGTCACTCCTTTGTCCGCCCAAATCAAATAGTAAACTGAGAACTGTGCACTTGTTTGCATGGAAAATTCTAAGCTGAGATCAGAAAACTCTAGTGATTGTGGTTTGCCATTTGCCCTTATTCTAAAAGCTTTACGAATATTCTAGAAATCAACATCATAAATGAGCATCAACCACATGATTCCACCTTTGACAACAACAGCAAAAGTAAACTTGATGTTTCCTTCTTGTCTCTTTTGGCAATTACAACTACCCTGTATCAGACACCTGGTTTCTAGATACAGTGTAAATACCAAAGAAACCGACAATTTAGTTGGGAAGGTATTCACAACCAACCCCCCAAATCACATTCAACAACAGTGAAAGCTGAACCAGGACACAGAACTGTCTACAAGTCTGTATCCTTCAGTCAGGGCTCCATGCTGTTTCGTTTTGGTGGCAGGCAACCAAGACTTGCTACTTCAAAACTTGTCCAAGGTCACACATTCCGTATGTGAAAGACAGGCACTAGACATAGTCTGATTTCAGGGTCCCTGTTTGCAACCTGGTCCTCAAAGGACCCTAAATCCAATACATCTTTAGTTACCAATCACACAGTTCCATCTTCATGTAGAATTGTCCTCTTTAAGGCAAAGTCTTCCCTGGGTAGATGCTAACTACCAATTTACCCAATTCCTCAACTCCCTTCCTGCTTGCTATACTCGATCAATGTCAAGGATAGGACCTCTCCACCTGGCATCCTTTGTGTGAGCTTTCAAACCTGGGTTCCTAACCTCCGTATTCTTTAACTTTAATCATTTTCTTGCTGACATCTCAAACTCTTTCTAAATTGTTCATCAACAAAATCATCAGCTATGGATGAACTAGGGAGTTTCCTAATCGCTACCACAAACTCTGAATCTCATAAGGTGGGGGGGGGGTGGATCACACAGGCTTAACAGTCAATTCAATCACAAATCCAATTTATACAATGGTCGTTCCAAATTACCTCATTTGAAACTCGACCATCTTTCACCCACTTTTGACATGCAACCCAGATCTTCCTTCATAGGCTAAATTGAGGCAGTCAAGGTAGGACACTAACAAAACAATCTACCTGTACAATTCTGAACCTTACCAATGAACAATCTCTATTCTTCTCTGACCTCTGTAGGACTCTGTCATCAGTATACAAATAAGCCAAGAATGCTATTTCCTAGCGGTAACTTCTACTCTGAAGACCTCTATATATTTAGAAGATAGAGAATTGTCTCAGCCCCTGCAGCATATCACTTCCTGGCATTTATTCCCTGTTTAAATGTTATCAAAGGAGAAAGTCAAAAAACACCAAAACCCCCACCTAACTAAGAATTCCCTCTCATACAATATCAAAACATTATTGGATCTTCCGACTAAGCCTAAAACTTTACATAACCCAATTCCATTTCTATTGTCATTCTTCAAGGGGGAGGAAATATTGATATGTACTTATGTTAAAGACCTCAGGTGTGATGGGATCTCAAAGCATATAGAGGACTCAATATATTTAAGTCAGACTTATGCCAGGCATTGGTGGATTAAATTCAGTAAGATGAAGGGATACCAAGAAAAATCAGCAAAGGAAAAGGGAATGGAGGCTGAAGCCCACAGAAAATAAGAGTGAGTATTCAGTTCTCTCTCCCAGTGGAGTTAGATGTGAAATGCACAATCCCTCTAGCAGTGAATTAACAATACTTGTAAATGTCATCAATTAGGAAACTCATTAAAAGCTTCAACTATGGGATTTAACTATGGGATGGTCCCATAAGCACCATATGCCTAACAGATATCAAAACTCAAACTCTAACACACACACAAAAAAATCGAAACCAAACATTCAGCATAAACCACATTATTTACACTGTTTAAGCAAAGTAAATAGTAGTAAGGGTCGCACAGGTTTGACTTCAAATCCCAGCTCTGGGACTCTGTGGCCTGAAAGGAGCAGCTTACTCTCCTTGAACCAAAGCTATTCAATTTACAAAATAAGTCAAAAAATATCAGCCTCTCAGAAGAGTCACAGCCCACACAAGATCTCAAAAGCACACGAAGAGTGTGTGGCACATTTTAGGGACTTAAGAATGAACACACTAGAGAGAGTAGGACATGGAGGAACAGGAAGGTCAACTGGGGGGGGTAAGATAAGGGGAAGAGGGAATCATAGGTTAGAAGACAGATCAGGCACCATTGTGACCTCTAGTGATCTAAACGGATGACACCAACTGGCAAGCTAAGAAATAGTGTAGAGACCACCTCGAATGCCTATTCATGATAGTGAACTTGATGTCTATAACCATCCTGGAGCCTTCATCCAGTGACTAATGGAAGCAGAGGCAAACACCCACAGTTAAATACTGAACAGAACCCAAGGAACCCAGTGACAGAGAGAGAGGAGCGATGAGCAAATTGGCAAAGAATGGGCTGGGAAAACCAGCAGAGAGAGCTGATCGGAACAGGGGAGAGCTCTTGAACCCCAGACCGACAGCTGGGAGGCCAGCATGGGACCGATCCAGACCCCCTGAATGTGAGAGTCAATGAGGAGGCCTGGGCTACCTATGGGGTTCTGAGCAGTGGATCAGTGTTTATCCCTCAAATACTAACAGACATCGTGTGTCCATAACACAAAGAGGGTTGCTCTCTCTGCCTGGAGTCTTAGGGAAGTGCCTGGACCCTACCCTGAATGAAATGATAGACTCTAGATATCCCCTATGTGGAAGGAATTGGCAATAGGGTGGGAGGATGGGGGGGATGGGGGTGAGGTGCAGGAGGAGGGGAGGGAGAGGGAACTGGGATTGACATGTAAGACAAGCTATTTAAAATTTTTTAAAAAGTTAAAAAAATATATTGAAAAAGAATGAACACACTTTTATCTCTAACAGAGGCCACATTGTG